CAGCTTCAGCTTGAACTTGCATATGAGTAGTTGGTGGTCTGTTCCACAATCAGCTCCTGGCCTAGTTTTCACAGCTGATATTGAGCTTCTCCAGTGATTTTTTCCACAGATGTAATCGATCTCATTCCTATGCATACCATCAGGTGAAATCCATGTGTATAATCTATGTTTATGTCTGCTAAAAAAGGTTTTTGCAATGACTAAGTCATTGATTGTGCAGAATTCAATCATTCTATCTCCAGCTTCATTTCTGTCACCAAGTCCATGTTTTCCAACTACTTATTCTAGTTGTTGTTGTTGTTATGTGCCATCGAGTTGTTTCCGACTTATAGTGACCCCATGCACAACAGCTCTAAACCCTGCTCTGTCCTGCTGCCAACCGCACCGCCTCTGACACACCCATCCCGATTACCCCAGTCACCGAATCAATCCATCTCATAGAGGGTCTTCCCCTCCTGCGCTGTCACTCCACCCTCCCAAGCATGATGTCCCTCTCCAAGGACCCGTCCCTCCTGGCAACATGTCCAAAGTATTTCAGACGAAGCCACATTAAAATCACCCACCTTTGCCTTGGTAGCGTACTTTCTAGCCACTAGGCCAACAGAGCTCTTTCTGTGTTGTTGTTGTTGTTTTTATTGTATTGAAATCAGTATAAAAATTTAAAATCACGATTAATTTTCTGTGTGCATCAGATACCCATTTAAACCTAACCATATCTAGCTGGTAATTAGTTGACCAGAACCCAATTAAATGAAAAGAAGATTATTGTATTCTAAGGGTTTGCTATAAGACCATATAGGACCGCAGTATGCTTATGGATGCAGGTGTTGAAAGTTTCCAGGTTGACCATAGGTTCCTTCAGTAAAAGGGACATGCTTGTTTTGTCAGAGTATTGATTTCGTAGGGATAGAGAAATCAGCAGTTGGCTATCTATAAGGGAGATAGAAGGGCATGAGGTGTGAAAGAGCTGTTTTGTCCATTTTCATGACTGTAGTTGTTATTGGGATGTTTGTAAGGGAGTATAAAAACTCCACAATATGTGAATGAAATGTAATGTAAATGGAATACTTACTATATGAAATAATGTATATGAATGATAAGAATATTGATTAAAAACCAAACCAAACAAAACAAAACTTTACAAATGGGTAAAAAGAAGACCTACTGACTGGGGAAAAACATTTAGCAATGATATCTCAGACAAGAGTCGCATAATGAAAGTTTACAGAATACTCCTTGTTCTCCACAATAAAAAGACAGATAACCCAGTTACAAAATGGGCAAAAGACATGGAAAGACTTTTCACAGAGGAACACATTTGGATGGCTAACAGACACTTGAAGAAATGCTCAAAATCACTGGCAATGAGAGAGATGCAGATTAAAATCGCAATGAAATATCATCTCACCCCAGTAGCAGTGGCATTGTTGAATGAAACAGCAAGCAATAAATAATCACGAGGATATATGGAGAGATTAGAACCCTCATACAATATTAGTGGAATTATAGAATGGAAATAAAAAAGCATATCGCGTTGGGAAAGTCTGCTGTTAGGGACCTCTCTAAAGTACTCAGGAGCAACAGTGTCTCTCTGGAGACTAAGGTGCGCCTGATACAGGCCATGGTATTTGCAATCGCTTGTTATGCATCAGAGAGTTGGACAATGACTAGGGAGGACAGAAGGAGAGTGGATGCTTTTGAGCTGTGGTGCTGGAGAAGGGTACTGAATATACCCTGGACTGCCAGGAAAACAAACAGATTTATCTTGGAGAGGATTAAACCAAGTTACTCCTTGGAGGCAAGGATTCTGGGGCTTCATCTTACATACTTTGGACATGTTGCCAGGAGGGACGGGTCCTTGGAGAGGAACATCATGCTTGGGAGGGTTGAGGGACAGCGCAGGAGGGGAAGACCCTCTATGAGGTGGATTGATTCGGTGACTGGGGTAATAGGGATGGGTGTGTCAGAGGCGGTGCGGTTGGCGTAGGATAGAGCAGGGTTTAGAGCTGTTGTGCATAGGATCGCTATGAGTCGGAAACTACTCGACGGCACATAACAACAACAACAACAGTTACAACCACTCTGGAAGTCAGTTTTGCTTTTCCTCAAAAAGCTGAATGTAGAAATTCCATATGAGCCAGCTATTTCACTCCTAGGAATATACCCTGTGGAAATTAGAACTGAGACCGAAATGGAGATTTTTACACCAGTGTTCATAGCAGTGTTATTCACAATATTGAGAACATGCAGACAGCCCAAATGCCCATCGACAGCTGAATGGATTGAGAAATTTTGGTACAGTCACATGATGGAATGCTGTGCAACACTCGGGAGCAAAGATTTTTCAAAATACCATATAACATGGAAGAGACTAGAGGCCATTTTTATTTATGAACTAACTCACTCTCACAAGGACAAATACTGCATAAGACCATAGTTGTATAAAAATAGATAACTACTTGGTTCAAAGAGGTAAGGAGCAAAGGTCTGAGAGTAGGGAGAGTGAAATCATGAGGTTTCAAAATTTGATGGACAGAGGGAGTGAGTGATAGAATTCGGGTAGATATGTCCGGGATCTGAAAAGACAGGGTAATGGCATAGATCAGTGGGGATTGATTTTACAAAAGAAAATGTATGAGAGCGAGCATGCGAAACACAGTGACTGAATGATTTGAAACAATATGTATTTAAATTTTGTTATGGAAGCCAACCTAAAATGAAGGAGGAAAAAAAAAAAACCAAACATCACCTCCTCCCACAAAAACAAAGACCCTAAGTGATAACTGTTTCCTAGTGGGCAAGCTGGAGTTTTTAGCTGCAAAGATTGAAGCTGTCAACAATGTCATCTTTCTTGGATCTGGTTACCAGGATTCTGGAGATCAGAGATGTGTAGCCTTCAAAAGTTTACAGTCATGAACTTCTGCAAATTACTGAATAGCAGTGATGTTGGTTTGAGTACTAAGGTGTGCTTATTCAGTTAACTTGCTGTGCATCTAAATGCTGGATTGCGAATAAGAATGACAGAATAAGAGTTGATGCCTTTGAACTGTAGTGTTGGAGAAGAGTACTGAATATCCTCTTGAAATGGTGAAAGAACAATCAGATATATCTTGGAAAAGGTGCACCCAGAATGCTTCTTGGAGGCAGAGATGGTAAAGCTTCGTCTCATATACTTGGACATGTTGGTAGGAGCGACTGTTCCTTGGAAAGGGACATCATGCTTGGAAAGGTAGATGATTTGCAAAAGAGAGGAAGACCCTCAACCAAGTGGATTGAAACAGTAACTGCAACAGTGATCTCAGCTGTGTCAGAGATGATGAGGATGGCACAGGATAGCCAAGGATTCAGATCTATTCATAGAGTCACTATGAGTCATACTTGACTCCAAGGCACCTAACAACACAATAACAGGAAGCCTTGTAGAATGAATGGGAGAAGGGAATAAAGATATCAGTATGCCACAGCCACTGGAGTAGGATCACCGTGTTAAGATAAAAGACTTTCTGAAATTAGAACTTTTTTCCTTTTCTTAAATTCATCACTGTGATATAATTCACCAAAAACAGGTTTCTGCTTTTGTGATTTAGGCATATTTTCTATAAACAATTGACCATTTTTTTCCTTAAAATAACTTACTATTTAGTCACATATGTTGAGATGTAAGCAGTTCATATCCCTGCTTAACCCTTATTTTAATTTTCTATGTTTTTTTTTATGCAGATCAGTTCACAAGGTGAAACAGTGAAAACTTTGTATTTCAGTTACCTTTCAATCCTTCAGAAAGTAGCCAATCATGTTGCTCTACTTCACACTGTGGGCACTTCAGAACAACAGGTTTGGATTGGTTTCTTAATACTTTGTGATAAGTATTTGCTTTAGAGTTTCTCGTAAAGGACTTCTAAAGGTACGGATGATTGCTTAGCTACTAATAACTATAAGGTGGAGTTGATTCCATAGTACCTAACAACCCCATGAAATTTTTCAGCCAAATATCCTTATGTTGTTTTGTATGGAATTTAAGAGGAAATGAACATACAGTTTTTTACTGTAGTTGTTAGAGATATATATACACGTATAAATTTTTCATTTCAAGGGATAATAACTTTGTTTTATGCCTAAAATGAATGTATTTTTTCTTAACATCCTTTGATGTATCTAATATAATTTGTTATTATAATTATATTATTATATATTATATTTATTATCTATTATGTATCTAAGTATATCAGGATTAATAGTATATCTGGATTAATATCAAGATTTATTTGTATTAATTAATTATTGTATTAAATATTTAAAGTATTCTCCAAATTGGTAAAAATCAGTAATTTTAAAGTTTTGTCACTTACTTACATTTTCAGGTGTATCTTCTAGATGTTTTTAGGTGCAATAGTTTACTGGGATTCATGATGGCACTGGATTGGGCAAAGCTCACAGTTGTTCTTATGATCACTATGAGTTGCAGTGGATGCTAAGGCACTTAACAACATAGCAACTCTGTAAATAGCAGATGTGAACTTTGCTCTGTCTCATACCATCCTCACAATCTCCACCCTTTTTCAATCCATTATTGTAGTTACTTGTGAGTCTCTCCCCCAGAAGATCTTCCTTTCTTTCTCTGACCCTCTATCTTTCCCATAATGATGTCTTTTTCTCAGGGAATATTCCTGACAATATTCCCAAAGCATATGAGTTGAAGTTTCACTATCCTTGCCTTTAAGGAACATTCTAGTTATACTTCCTCTAAGACAGACTCATTTATTATTCTAGAGCACAACATAAATATATAAAAAAACTTTCAAAATATCTTTTTTATTTAATTATTTTTATATTTTTTTAAGTGTTATTGATATTGGTGCTGTTTGATTGTAATTTTGAAATCTCTGGTGTCCTAATGGTAGGACGCTTCATTTGCTGCAATCTCAAAGTCACTTGATTCAAATCTATCAGCTTCTCCATGGGAGAAGGATAGGCATTCTCCTTTGTGATTCACTGCCTCTAAAGGTCTGACTCAATACACAACAACAACAGCAAATAGTGTTGGTTGCTCTTTGTAGAATATTTAGTTGCTTGGTTTGGAAATCTTAAAATACTAATGATAAAGTTAATGATCATATCAATATTTAAGATTTCAGCAAAGCTACATTTGCTGAAAGTATACATATATGCTAAACATCAAGGATGTCAGTTTTAATACTAAATTGCTCTAGTCATTTCAGTTGCTTCCTATGCATCTGAAGGTTGGATATTTAATAAGGAAGGTCCAAGAAAAATTGATGTCTTTGAATTGTGATATTTGTAAAAGTATTGAAAATTCCATGGATTGCCAAAAGAAAAACAAGTCTGTCATGGAGAAATCCAACCAGGGTATTCCTTATATTCAAGGGTAGTAAAACTTACTCTCACATGCTTTTTGGCATGTTGCCAAGAGAGTCCATTTCTTAGAAGAAATTCTTGCTGGAAAAAGTGGAGGTTCAAAGAAAGAGAACGTGGTGCCCAACATATTTGATTAACAGCGTGATTGTAAAAATGAGCTTGAGCCTGTTGCAGATCATAAGGATGATGCAAGATAGGCAAGATTTTGATCTATTGTTTATAGAATTGTTGTGAATGGAAGTCAGTTTACATGGCACTTAACAACAAGAGTAAATTAGAGTTGAATTGATTGTACCTAACTACATAAACAGCAGGATATGTACTTAACATATCTCATTAAGATTTTCTGAATTATTATTTTGACTTTGAAAAAGGAAAATCTTAGTGTTCATTACAAATTGGAATGCCCTTTTCATAAAATAATTTTAACTTCTGTATTTGCATATTTTAAGTTGAAGTCTTTTTTCCCTGCTTCTATTTCTTTTAGAAAACAATTATTGATAGGATATGTGATCAGGTATTTTCCAGATTCCCAGAATTTGTTCAGAAAAGCAAAGATGCTGCTTTTGAAACAATATCCGACCCAAAATACAGTGGAAAAATGAAGGTTAGTGCTTTTCTTTCAGGTTGCATACAGATAAAGATGAGATACAAAATATTAATCAAATAATATGGCAAAGACACTAATTAATCTCAGCAACTATCCAGTCAGTGAGGAGAGTGGGGTTGTGGCAGCATTTACTACCTCGTTGTCAATGCTGTGTATAGATAAGTACACACGTTGATTCTCAACGGTAAATGTACTTGAGACTTCATTGTTAATTCTCATTCTATTACAAAAAATAATGACTTGACCCTACATATTCAAGGATATACTCTCCAGAAATAGAAATGTTGATGTCAGGGAGCTCTGGTGGCCTAGTGGCAAGCTGCTACACTGCAGTTCTGAAGGCGCGCAGTTCAAATCCCTCAGATGCTCACTGGAAAAAGAGGGATAAGTCTCCTCCTGTGCCAGTCGGCCCTGATCCGACAGTACACACAAAAAGAAAAGAAATGCTGACCCTAAATAGGGTAGATTTGGGTGTTACTTTGGAATGAGAGAAAAAAGCTTGAAGATTTGAAAAGTGGACGAGGCCTCTGTGTAGACCAAATTCTCTGCCTTTTACTAGCATATGTAGACATTGATGACAAGGCAATGTTTGTTTTACTCAGCAAAAATCACCTGCAGGGCATGTTTGGTAATGCATTGCTGAGATGCATAAAACTCATTGCTTTTGAGTGGAAGCTGACTTGTAGCTGATCCATGAGCAGGTCTTTCAGAGGCTGTCAGCTTCACAGGACATTGTTCATCTTTCTGTCACAGATTAATTGTTAGATTCCAACCATGTGCCTTTAAATTGAAAGCACAAATCCTTACCACTAATCCACCTAGAGCTCTCTGTTCTATGTAGTTGTGTACCATTTAGTCAGAACTGACTCATTCATAGTTGACCCTCCAGTGGATTTTCAGAGGCAATAAATTTACTAAGGAGACTGCCCATCTTTCTTCTTTTTGAATGGGAGCTGCTGGTGAATTTGAACCATGGACCTTTTTCTCAGCAACATAACTCCTTATTGCTAAGCCACCAAAGCTCCTGTTAGAAATCACTACCTCTTTTAAAAACTGCTTATCCTATGGTTATTCATTTACATTTTATTCATTATCACTCTTGACTAAAAAGTTAAACTACTAAAATTAAATGAAAACTTATAATTCTGCATTTAATTTTCTGTGTATCTATTAAATACATGATTTGATATATCCTTTTATTTACAGTTCTATGTTAAGATGCTTCACATCCTTTGGGTGTGTTGCTAAGACAGGCTGTTCCTTGAAGAGAAAGATATTATGCTTGACAAGGTAGAGGAATAGCAAAGGAAAAGATGACCCTCCACCAGGAGCATTGGCACAGTGACTGCAGCAGTGGGCTGAGAGATCATGACGATGGGATAGGGCTCAGATCTGATCTTCATAGGGTGTCTGTGAGTTTTACTTGTCACGATGCCACATAACATCTAGGTGAACAGATGCTGAAATTTGAAGTAGGATGTTCAGAAGCCAAAACAAAGGGAAAAAATAGTAAAGTAAAAGAGTTGAACAGAATATTTCAAAGGGCAACATGAGAAAACAGAACAATGTATTATAATGTGCAAAGAGCTAGAATCAAAGAATAAGGGAAGAAATGTATCAGCTTGGTGCCCTTGTGGCAAGAAGCTGCACTGCAATCCCAGAGGCACAGGGTTCGAATCCACCAGATGCTCTGCTGGAGAAGGAGGGGCAATCTCCCCCTGTACCATTTGGATCCGATTTGATGGTACACATGCAATAATAAAATTAATTTAAAAAAAAAGAAAGCTCAGATATTTAAAGGGCTGCAAAATAAACTCAAACCTCGAGCTGGAACACTAAAAAGCAAAATATTGAATGATTGAGTAAGCATAAAATAAAAATAGAATACACAGAGTTTTGGTACCAGATAGAATTGGTTGACACAGAACCATTTTATGAGTTAGCATATGGTCAGGAACTAATGGCAATGAAGGAAGAAGTTCACTGAAGGTGTTGGTAAAAATATAAAATCCCACAATTGGTGGAATACCAATTCTTTGTTTCAGCAAATACTCTGTGCCAAAAAATTAGGAAGACACCTGCTTGGCCATTTGGCTGGAAGAGTTCCATATTTATTCCCTTACCCCAAAAAGGACATCCAACAGAATGAGAAATTATCAAACAGTATCATTAATGTGTTGTTGTTAAGTGCCTTCGAGTCGAATGCAACTCATAGCAACCCTCTGAACAAAAGACCTGAACACTTGTATCACTTTCATCGTTTCTCCAAGTTCATAGGGTTTCTGGAGGAAAACTGTTTCGGAAGTGGATACCACTCCTGCATCATGTGAAAACGTAATCTCTCTAAAGATCCAAAACCTTCTGGAACGGTGTATCAGCAAGAGAACTTTACCACATTCAAGCTTAATTTAGAAGACACTGTTGGCCCAGGGATATCATTGCTGATAATACACCTTGGCTAAAAGCAGAGAATACCAGAAAGATTGTTATTTTTATTTTATTTACTATGCAGAGATATTTGACTGGATCATACCGAATTATGACTAACATTGAGAAAAATGGAGACCCCAAAATGCTTAATTGTACTTATACCAAACCTATACTTTAGACCAAGCAGCTGTCATCCAGATACAGCAAGTGAACACTGTACAATTTAAAATTAAGGAAGATGTGCATCAGGGCTGTATCCTTTCTCCATACTTATTCAGTCTGTATACTGAACATATCATTTTAGAAGCTAGACTTTAATAAGAAGAGTGTAGCATCAGGATAGGAAGAAGACTCTGCGTTAGAATTATAATACAGCCTACATTATGCAAATGCTGCAACTTTAATTGCTGAAAGCAGAGAGTACTTGTAGTGTCTGCTGCTGAAGATCAAAGACTACAGCCTTCAATATGGATTACATTTCAACATCAGGTAGATTAAAAAAAAATCATGACCATGATTTCATCCTGCATGGATCACAGGCAACACCCTTGGCAGCAGTCAAAGAATCAAAACACATGTTGGGAAAACCTGCTATTAGGGACCTCTCTAAGTTGTTAAGGTTAAAGGGAAGACTGGGAAAAAGTATTTGGTAATGACATATCAGATAAGGGACTTATATCCAGAATTTATAAAATATCCAGAATTTATAAAATACTTGAGCACCACAACAAGATAAAGGTAAATAATCTAAAGAAAAATGGGCACAGCATATGAACAGACACTTCACCAAAGAAGACATTCACATGGCTAACAAGCACATGAGGAAATGTTCAAAATCCCTAGCTCTAAGAAAGATGCAAATCAAAACAGCTATGAGATATCATCTCACCCAGTCAGAAAAGCAAAATTTAACAGAACAGCAAGCAACAAATGCTGACAAGGTTGTGGAGAAACTAGAACCCTTATTCACTGTTGTGGGGAGAGTAAAATGGTGCAACCACTGTGGAAGGCAGTATGGCACTTTCTCAAAAAATTGCAAATAGAGATACCATTGACCCAGCAATTCCGCTACTGAGAATATACCCTAAAGAGACTATAACCAACATCCAAGCAGACATATGCACACCCATGTTTATTGCAGCTTTGTTCACAATAGCAAGAAGTTGGAAACAACCCAAGTGCCCATCATTAAATGAATGGATAGAGAAGCTGTGGTATATTCACACAATGGAATGCTATGCTGTATTGAAAAACAAGGAACTCATGCAATATTATTCAAAATGGGTGAACCTGGAGGACATTATGCTGAGTGAAGTATCTCAGTCACAAAAGGATAAATACTGCATGGTGCCACTGTTATAAAACAGGACTGACTT